ATTCATGCTTTCCACTAAAATGTTTGTATCAAATACCTCCCTATTTAGATTGATTTCTTTTAATATCATATATTATTATACTATATGCCCCAGAGATTGGAACAAAATACTCCTGCAAATAACACATAAAAGATGAGGGTGAGGGGGAATAAATACAGACTATAAAATGTTTTGCTTTTTAGAACTCAAATTACCATTCTATTTTTCAAAATGTATTTTTCCCTCTTAGTTGCAGCAAGAATTATGTCATTTTCTTTCTCTTTTTCTGGCTCTCGGTTTTAAAATGTATATGTACATAACGATAATATGTACATATTTGTGTATTAAATGACTCTCTTTCTCAGAGCTAAGACTGAAGTCTTTTTCCTTCGGAGAGCTAGTAGTGTTCCCTGCGCCCTGCTTTGTCACAGACCAGGCCATAGCAAGATTCTCTTTTCATGTGTGTGAGGCTTTACAGGTACACTAAATTTATTCGTGAAAGGAGGTTACTTTCCTGACTCAATGAAAATCATTGTGCACCCCTTATCTGTAAAAAATGTTAGAAGCGAATTGACTTGAATTAACTGTTCTAAAAAGAGTGGAGTGGAAATCAGAGATTGAGTTTGGTTGGAAATTAGCAGCTGAGAGATGAAGGTGCCAGGATTTTTATTTAAATGTGGTACAACAAGATTCTGTCAGAAAAGCACATCATTAGAATATTGAGTTTAGAACTGCTAATTTTTCCTTTAAAATGAGCATACAGTCGTGTGTTTCATGGACCATAATAAATTGCCATTGTGTTGTCATTGAGTTTGTTTTGCTTTTTTTCAGGACTGGCTTGGCAGTCACTCCGCATTTTCTCTTTTCCTTTTTTTTTTTTTTTTCCCCCTCCATCCGATGTTTCTTTAATAGAGCCCTAACCAAAGCCAGTCAAAGGAATGTTCTTTATTTCATGCAGTCTTAGGTTTAGCATCTTTTGCACCATTTTCTTGCTTACGGTAGCAAGACATTTGCAGATGGTTCTTGGTTACTATAAAGTACATAACAGTATTTCCTTTGTGGCAGATGGATTTAAGACTTTTAGTTCTCAATAAATGTAGGTTTACAATACATAACTTTACAGGATTTGTGTTGTATATAACAGGTTTGAACATATTATCTCAGAATTCATCTGCATGGCATTTTCAGCTTATTCAGGGCCCATGCCAGTTTTTTTAAGTAATAGGGGGAGCGCTGTGATTGATAGCAACAGCTCAAGGCGTGATTTTGAATAGAAACAAAGGGTTTAGAACAGAAGGTGTCAAATTAAACTTTGTCAGTTTGAAAAGTAGTAACATCCTGAAAGTTTTACTGATTTATTTACATGTGGCTACTGTTTATATTTTGCCCTCTTTATATGCAGTGTAATGTTGCTTGGCAAATTTACTACATTTAAAGTTTAGGTTGTTCCTTGTACCATTTTAGTTTTCTGAGAATGGCTCACTCTCATTATGTTAAGATTGCTAATCCCCTGTCTCTTCTCATTTTGAGAGTAGTTCCCTACTCCGGCCGGCCGAAGGCCTAACAACCGGTCAGGTCCCAGAGACCTGCCTGAGGGATCAGTGTTGGATTTTACCACAAAGTGTTGTGTTGTCTTTCCTTTCCTTTCTCCTCTTCTAGTAAATCTGGATTTATTGTTTGCAAACCAGTACAGTACTTAGGGGACTCATTAGTTTTATTTGTCAGATATTACAGTTATTCTGACATGTGCCTAGTTTTCCCTGGTTTATTTGTTCTAGCAATATCACTTAGAGAAGAGTCACCTGGAAGAAGGGAATGGGGAATTGGAAAGCATTTCACTTTAAGTCACTTTCTGAAAAACATAGATCAGATTACTGTCATGATTAATAAAGTCTCAATCAATAGAATCTGAAGTAGTCAGAATATTCCATGGTTTTAAAATAGTATTAGAATAAATTTTTGCCAGTGTAAATTGGGAATGAGCCAATTTATTTCTTTGCTGACAAAGAACTAGTGTGTCAAAATATCTGCTTTCCATTATTTTTAAGAGAGATGCACATCAAGGAAAGCACACCCCCCCCCTTTTTTTTTGGAATACCCTTGTAGAACTAACAGTTCCCAGCTGCACCGTTAAATATTTTTCTAGGAAGCATCTGATTTCAGTCTCTTAAAATCATCATGTCTCTTGAAAGGCTAGCAGAGACATGCTTCAAAGTTATAATTCATCAAATTATTTTTAGATAAGGAATTAGAAGTATTATTTAAGGGCAGAGGTTAATAGCAAACTACTGGAAATGTTATGTTAGTCATGGGCAATTAATAAAAATAAGGATCCGTCTGGTAAGTATAAAGACACAGAAGTGACAATATGAGCAAAATATTTGTTGAATGAGTCAGGGTTCTTTTTCTGAAATATTTGTTAAACCAGCATGAATGTGATTGTTTAGGAATTAGCTATCATTATTAGCCATTTTAAAAGAACTAATGATTTTCTTTTCCAAAGAACATCTGTGATCCACATGTTTTTTTTTCACATAGATCCAAGCGCTAACTGATCTCTGCAGTACTTTAAAAAGTTTCTAAAGGATTTGAAAAATTATTGGAGTTTTCCTGCTCTCTCAAGGAAGCTTTTCTTACAGGAATCGTTCTTTAACTTTCAGCAATTTTTAGTTACAAGCCTTTATTTCTCAAAAAAAAAAAAAAATCATAGATGCTTAAAGTTTAGAATGTTTATTTCTCAAAAAAAAAAAAATTCATAGATGCTCAGTGTTTAGGATGTATGGCAATAGTATTATAATTGCTAAGCTGAAAGAAATTAAAAAAAAAAAAAACAACTTTTCTGTTCCTTGTGAACCTTCTAACATCTCTTAAAAGGCAAATAAAATAGTAGTGAGCGCTGTGTTTGGGCCTGGGCCCCCTCACTCACCCTAGCTGAAGAATGAGACAAGGGGCTGGGGAGAAGTCCTCTTAATTATAGTTGATATGCAAACAGATACATCTCTAAAACCTGCACAGCATCAAAACTTAGAGGTAAAGAAGTAACTTGGATGTAGAAGCAAAATATTTTCATGGCTTAATCCTGAGAGCAAATATTAGTCAGTAAGAGCTAAATAAGCATCCTCAGGGCATATAAGTGGGTCTCTAATATTGGAAATATTCAAATGTAGTTTTTAGCTCATATTACAGTTACAGTAAATAGAGCTTAAATATCACATCATCTATCATATTATTCTGGAAATAAGCATGGAATTGGCATGGCTGGAAGAGAAGCATGTTCAGTGACACTGTAATCACAGTTTGTTTTTAATTTAGCTAACATTCTTTCAGAACTGCTTGTTCTCTTAGCCTTGAATTACAGTTTCAGTGGCATTGAACGTTGAGAGCACGACTTCATGGCTGTGGCCGTGTACGTATTTGTTGATTTAGAGAATCAGAGCTCTTTCAGAAACATTTCTAGATCTCATGGATTCAACAGTCGTCACCCTTACCTGGCTAGTAGGTGGACCTTTGGGAAGTGAAGATGTTAGTTCTCTATCTCGCCTTTTAAAAATCTCTCAAATAAATCATTTGGGGGAGTCTGGACCTTGCTTCTTCCCACTGTATATCGAGTTGGGAGGAGAATTTTCTTTCCAGTGATTGTTTCAGAAGGGTAGGAGAGTCATGCTTTTGCCTTGTCTCACCCCAAAGAAAGCATTAAAAAAAAAATAACCAAAAACCTGACTTATTTCTAAAAATCAGATCTACAAGAAACTATATTCTTTGTATTCCCATCCAGCTATCTTATTTGGAATTTCCTAGAAACCCATTTGTCTTTGGCTTTGCTTTTAGGGATCCTGATCTAAATCAGCGAATCAGGTGCTCCTTATGATTTGAAGGTGGAGGTGGGTTGGGAAGAGAAAAGGCCTCAGAAAGAACGTGGTCTCAGATCATTTCTAACCCTGAATTGGGGGGGGGGCGGTGGAGGGAGCAGAAGAACGGGACGGCTGTCTCTAGAGATTAAGTTGAGAACTCAGGCCCTTGAGCAGGTACTTGGTACCACAGTCACTCGGCACGCCAGGGAAAGGTCAGTGAGGAAATGGAATAAGTGAGATGACTCCAAGACATTTCTCCACGGAAGTGTGTCTCCGTGAGCTGTTAGCAGGCAGCCTGGTGCTTGAATGTGGTTGCCTTGACTGGTGCAGGGGTGAGGGGCAGCTGTCCTCTCCACCCTGGTCTTGGTGTCCATCGTGGCAGCCCCGATGAAGAAGGTCTGAGATGGTGACCAGAAGATCTAGACAGTGTGCTCCGTCCAACCAGGCAGTTCTTGATGGATTAGCTGAGTTTCAAAACCTGGGCCTTATGGCCAACAGAGAGGTTCAAGCTTTTGACTTTCTTCGGCTATTTCTTTCCCTCTTAGACTAAGAAATCTGTTAAAATTCTCGCCTGAGAGATCACGTGTAAACTGCAGTGTAAACAGCACAGGACGGGAAGACATGACTCCGGAGTATCCTTATAGAAAGTTCTTTCTTGGAGAATTTTTCTAATGTCCATTCTAGTAGTATGTCTTACATTGGACACCACTCTTGCTTACACAGCTATATGCGTCCTTTCTCTTTTCTGTACACGCACACACACCCACACCCCCCCATTCCTTTCTAATACCAACAGTTTAAACTTAGGAAAAAAGCATTATTCTGAAAATCTGCCCTGGCTCTAATTAAATACCCCCAGAACCCTCAGATCGCCACTCAACAGACAAGAAAGCAGGGCAAGACCGGAGCAGCTCGGCTCTGCTTTCCTCCTGTTTCACATATTGCAAAATCCATGGTAAATGTGTCTTGCCCTTAGAGTCTGAAAAATATGACCCTCCTTTAAGATGCAAATCTGAACATACATTAGAAACAGAGCCAGTCTCCTCAACAGGTCAAAAAAAAATTTTAAGCAGACTGGATGGTTTTGCGCCTCTAACAGAGTTAACTTCACAGGGTCTTTCCTTTTTAGTTCCTAATGGAAATTGCCAGCCCCCCCAGGCACGAACTGACCTGTCATGCCTTGCCTCACAGGGGTGGTTGTGTGAGCTGTTACGCTGGAAGGAAGATCCTTCTCCGGAAAACAGAACCCTGTGGGAGAATCTCTCCATGATCCGAAGGTTCCTCAGTCTTCCCCAGCCGGAACGCGACGCCATCTATGAGCAGGAGAGCAACGCGGTGCATCACCATGGCGACAGGCCGCCCCACATCATCCACGTTCCAGCCGAGCAGATTCAGGTTCGTTTACCTTGGCCAATTCAATATAGTACTGAGTAAACAGAGCTGTAAACTTAGCAGGGAAATTAGCGTTTCTCTTCTTCCCACCAGTCTAAACATAGGCTTTTTAGCAAGAGATAACAGTGCACTGCCATCTCGCTCAGGGGGATAAAAGGAAAATTAACACACTTTTCCCAACATGTGTATTGTGTTCCTGTCTCCACCCTGCAAAGTGGCAGGAACCCCCTCTTTACACTTCTCGTTTGGCACGTGTGTCTTTTTAGAACTGGGTCGTTTTGTGTGTGAGAGCTGAGAGGGTTTTTATTTTGGGGGGCTGTGTTTTTAAAAGTCAGAATTTTTTAAATACCACCTAGTTCTTAGTGAATCCCAGTACTGCCCCCAGGGAAAGGAGTTACTGCTTTTCTGTAAAGGAAGTTTGCCGGATCAGTTTTATTCCTGGAACTCTGTCCAACACAAGGAGGGAGGCAAGCCAATGACATCTGACGTCTGACTCCTTGGCCCACCCTGCACCTCCCAGCTCTCTCCCCATGTCCTCACGTAACTCACGTTAGGGGTGAGTCCTGTCTGTCTTTCCTTTAGAGCTCACCTCCCACCCGCCCTGGGAGAGGAGAGTCTAGCTGCGATTTCTTAGCCGGCCTGCTGTCCCCTGCCCCGTGGCTCGGTGCTGCTCCTCGGGGGGAGCGGGCATGTTACAGATGCCAGCCAGAGAAGAGGGCGGGGTGCAGAGACATGCTAATATGGTGGCGGCCAGAGACCAGGCCACCAGTAGGCTCCGGCTAAGCTTGTGGCTGGCTTTTTCCTTTCTTGGGGCTTGTCTCCGTGCATCCCTGAGGGAACTTCGCTATGAATTTAGATGGGAAGGTCCTGAGATCAGGTAGTTTGTTGATGCTTTTATGACCTTGACTGGTTAGGGAGTGTGTTGGCATTGAGCTGGAGCTGTGTAACTTATTTCTGTTCATGGTCCAGGCCAGTTTCGCTTTTTTCCTTTAAGGAAAAATGCCTCTGTATTCCAGAATCCTGAGAGTAGTCTATCACCTGCATTGTTTCTTGGTATGGCTGTGGAAAAAAAAATATGTACACATATAGGGAGAGAGAAAGAGCGAGAGAACGCTAAAAACAATAATAGGGTTATCCATTCACTGAGTAAAAAAAAAAAAAAATCCTTGAGTGTGTATTAAAGATAAAACAAATTGAGAAACAGAATCCCTTAGGATATCAAGTACGAACATAATCGTGAAAGCCTGAAGAACTACTGTTTGGCAAAAACAAAAAAAGAGAAAGATATATGTTAATAAAAATAGTACTTGTTTGAGAATGTAAATTGTTTTTAATAAAATTGCTTCTTGGGGGAGAAGAGGCGATGCAGAGGCACATTGGAAACGGTCGAAGATGCTGCCGCTCTCTCAGGTTGATGTGCCTGGCTGGTAAAAATGAGGGCTCCAGCGTGTGCCTTGTGTCACATTTGTTATGTATCATTGTGTATGGAAATCACAGCACATATACAGCTACTAATTATGAAAAAGTGTCTGTATACACTAAATTTAAATCCTAATCACATCTGAGTTTACTACAGACAAAACAATTCGCTGGCCGATGTGTGGGGGTTGAACCTTTATTTTTCGGTAAGAAAGAAACTTGCAGTGTCAGCCTAGTGCAATTTGGTAAGAAATTATGTGTGTATTAAATAGGAACTGTCTGGTAGGAAATTCACAGACGTGAGAATCTCCGCGATCCTCTGGACTCTGAGGGATAATGCTGAAGAAGAACAGATGCTTATCCATTTTATCTGGAATTTAAGGCTAGCCATTCTTGCTCCCGGTTTTTGCCAGCTGATGAAATGGGGCAAAACACACATTTCTTTCCTCACGGCTCTGTCGCTCACCTTTCTAAAATTCCTTTGAAATCCTTTTTTCTCCATCTTCGCGTTACAATCTTTGTTAATTATTTACATCATAATTTGCTTGGCGGTCTTCGCCTTTGATGCTTATCCTTGTGGGGAAGTTTATGGCTCAGGGTGTCAGAGTTGTGGAAATTCATTTCTACCAGCCAGGCTGAAAATCCAGGGTAGGGAGGATCCAGTAACCCTATAGGGAATCCCAGTAGCCCCCGAGGCCCCCTTCGTGCCTCCCTTTCTAGCTCCTGCTCAGGCCTGTTCCTCCTGAGCCTCTGTCCCCATCACGAGGGACTCCTGCCCGCGCTGTCCCGATTCTAGCCTGCCCCGGGCGAGCTGCACACGCAGGGCGCTGACCGTCTGCTTGTTCCCTTCCAGCAGCCGCAGCCACAGCAGCAGCCGCCGGCGCCACCACCCCAGCAGCCGCAGGCGCAGCAGCCGGCCGGGCCCCGGCTCCCCCCGCGCCAGCCCACCGTGGCCTCGCCCGCCGAGGCCGAGGACGAGAACCGGCAGAAGGCCCGGCCGCGCACCAAGATCTCCGTGGAAGCCCTGGGAATCCTCCAGAGCTTCATCCAGGATGTAGGCCTGTACCCGGACGAGGAGGCCATCCAGACTCTGTCCGCCCAGCTCGACCTTCCCAAGTACACCATCATCAAGTTCTTTCAGAACCAGCGGTATTATCTCAAGCACCACGGCAGACTGAAGGACAACTCCGGCCTGGAGGTGGATGTGGCCGAGTACAAAGAGGAGGAGTTGCTTAAGGATCTAGAGGAGAGCGTGCAGGATAAGAATGCTAACACCCTTTTCTCGGTGAAACTAGAAGCAGAGCTCTCGGTGGAAGGGAACACGGACATTAACGCTGACTTAAAAGACTGAGACAAAGTATTATTTTCCTTCAGCAGTGCCACTGGTATTTCCTCACGAAGGAGAGTCCACCTTGTATTCCCTCGGAAGACCCGTGCTCATTGTTTGGCCAATGAATCTTCAGAAACTTGCACAACCAGGATAGTCGGGAAAGGATGGGTCAGACTGCACTAAATGTTTTACTCTGTTTTACAAACTGCTTGGCAGCCCCAGGTGAAGCATCAAGGATTGTTTGGTGTTCAGAGTTAAGCTTTGTGTTCGCGGGACGCATGGAGGTGTGTGCCCGGTTAGCATGATGCCAGTGATTTTTTTTTTTTTTTAATTATTATTCTGGAGCCTCCAACAAGCATTATAACTTCTGTGATTATTATTTCCTTCCTTTAATTATTTCTGTAACACTCCACACTGATCTTTGGAAACTCGCCCCTTATTTAAAAGAAAAAAGGAAAAAGAGTTTGTTACTCTATTGTATGTTACAGAAGAACTCTAGACTGTGGAATGCAGTTTAAAGATGACATATGCCAACAAATGCCTTGTATTATATGGCACTGCCGTAATTCAAATTTGTTTTTATTTTGGAAATAAAAGTTCACTGTAATTTTTTTTTTCATTCTCATCGTTACCTGATTTTTTAAAGCAAAAATGAAAAAAATGTGAAACACGATTTAGTCCTCATTATTTATTTGTAGATCCCGCAGCATCATGTTGTAATTAATTTTTTGGAAGTTTCCGTTAAATGTAATATTGCTTCTCTTGTTACCATACTGATTCTTTTCTATTTATAAGTGTATTTTGATGGGCAGTAAAACAAAGTGTCTTAAAAGTTTTAAATAGAGAAAATGTGCTTTACACAGTTGCCTATAAAAAGTGCTCTATGTTATCCAAGCAATTCATACTATAAGCTTCACTCTGATTGTTGTATGCAATTTTTACTCTCATGCAAATAAGCTTAGGTAAATAAAACTAATAGATCACCTTAGAAAATTATGCAATTAATGTGAAAATAATTGATGTTTGCAATGTGTCTTCCTTTGGTTTACAATCAATTTTAAAGCTACATCTGTATAAAATTTCTGTATAAAGGTGTATTTCTTTTTTATGAGTTCATGGCTATGAAAACACCAGCTATTTTGTTACAGCTGGCTGTTTTTATAAGTGTATCACAATTTTCTTTATGCAGAAATGTTCTGATTAGGAGTGGTTATTGACTGTAACTACACAATTAAAATTGTTTGTATGGTATGACACGGTAGGGTTTGTCTGCTTATGTGAAGTAACTTTAAAAGGGTGGCCCTCAGTTAGGTGCATGTTGATACTTTCTAGATAATATTTTACTTGATTTTAAAAGGCACAAGAGAAAACAAGTCACTGGAAACACTGTAAATTTAAATCACAGACACACACGCATTTTTAAGGTAAGCAATGAAGACGATAACCTGTTTTGGGTTAACATGTTGCTTAATATGCAGAGATAGAATGTTCAAAGGATTTTGCCAGCAAAAACACAAATCAGTCTAGCAGTGAGGTGCTTAGAATGAATTCATCTGCATTTATTCCTCAGTACTTCAGTTATGACAACTCTTTTCTTTCAGTTAATGTATAAATATTTTTAAAGGCCGTTAATAGTAACGTAAAACGTGTGTTGGGATAAGTGGACCTTCTGTATAAAAACTCCTTAGTAAGCCATGTATTTTTTTTAAAGTTATAAATGGAATGTAACGTAATCACTCTGAGCTCATTGGGTTGTATATGTCATAATTTTAAGAACATGAATAAGGATAACACACCTGGGATTGAAACACAATATTCCAAATTCTTGCTACATAAAACGCAGCAAACGCCAACATACAAAGTGAGGTGTGCTAATGGTCACAGAAAGGATTGGGGCCAGTGTTGCAGTTTGTGGATTTATTATTTTCTTTTTGATATTAGCTTTATCTTTTCGCTTCCTCTTTCTAAGGTTTCTTAAGTGGTAAGAACATTTATCTGGGTTTGTTGATACATGGTTCCGAAGTCACACCTTCTCTTTCTGCCTGTCATTCCCCAAGCCTGATGAGTTCCTTGATAAGCAATGGGCTACTTAAGAATTGTAACAAGCTGTAATTGGGTTATTGCAAACTCCCAATCAGCTTAAAATCTACTGGTTAGCTTTGAAGCACAGCTGAACTTGATACTGTATTGAAAAGTTTTTAGTTCTTTTTGTTAAATGAGAAAAAAAAAAAAAGGTTCTGCTCACTTGAGTTCAAGAAAGTAAAAAGTTTGAATTAATAAAACTAGATTCCATGTATTAAATATATATATATATATAATAGAAGAAGCTAAAATGCTATGAAGTTTGAAAATCTTGTCTTTTTTTCCTCTAAGTTTAAGGGAAAAGCTAGAGGAGAAAATTTTTTTTTTTTTTATCCAGTAACACTTAAGTGTCAGGTATGTATGAAGTTTAGTAATTTTTTTTGGAAGGAGAAATTGGGTTGCAACTAAGATTTTTCCATTCCTAATAACCTAACTTCTTTTGAAGTAGCATTTCAATCACTTCAGTGCATGTAAGAAATCCACATAATACTTGACAAGTTCTCCCTTAGACCCTTTACCTTAAGCAGCATAATGTTGCTGGCTTGATATTTTAAACCAAAAAGAAGCATGGCGATAAACAATGATGGTCATGACGGAGTGAGTAAAATTGGTTTCAGGAAGGATGGCACATTTCGGAAAAGATGTGGTCTGGGTGATCTTAACTTTGCACCCCCCACCGATGTCATCTGCTGCTCCTACCAGCTATTGCCAGTGATTATGGTACCATTCCTTGAACAAGCTTCCTCGAGTCTAAGTATTTCAGAGACTTTTAAAGCTGGGCATGACATAGCGCTTCGTGCTGTTAAGACCTTAGCAGAGTCAGGTAGTTTACGGGTAATATTCAACCTTGTGCTTCTGAATCTGTCGTGGATTCCTACCCTCAGCACTTTGCCACTAATTTGTAATACACTCTGTGGCCATATAATACTTGCACAATATGCAAAAAATAATGTTGATAGTTTCTCCTTGGCACATAATATGCAGAGTTGACACATAACCTTTGAAAACTAAGGTAACTAATATGTGCGCCCTAGTTGTGTGGCACCTGGTTACAAAGTCTGTACATATTATGTATAAAATGTGTATCGATTGACATTTAGTTCTAAGGAATTCTGAGCTTAGAAGTGTTTTCTTTTTCCCAAGTAGTGATATCTATATCTAATTGTGCTTATCTAAAATATATAGCTTGAGTAGAAAAGCCTTTTCAAGTGGTTCAAGATTGAAAAAAATGACAATCCCATACATTCCATGATTAAATTCTGCCCTATTCCCTATTGTTATTGGCTGATATTAAGGTCCTTGATTGTCACGATATTATCAATAAATGAGGTATTCTGAACTGCCTGGTGATATTTTCAAAAAAAAAAAGCAATTAAATGTGTATTCCCTGTTATGTAGCTAGTAGAAATAAAACAACTGTGTTAAAGCAAGCCAGAAATTTGCATGATAGTATGGAAATTAATGGAGGTCCCAAAATACTAATCAGATATCCAAAACATCAAAAGACACCGAATCTACCTTACAAATAAATACTTTTGATCTCTTAAGGGGACTTATTATGGATTCAGTGTTCCTGCTGAGGCAATTCTTTTAATGTAAATACTAAACACTTGCATGTCTTTGGACAAAAGCTAAACTACAATCTATTAACATGCACATTTTTGATAAAAAGTAAACTTACTAAAGAAATGTGGTGGAAGGTGTATGTCCAGAATACTATACCTGTTTTACTTACCAAATGTTAAATAAAAATAGTTTGGAATTAATGCTTAAAAGATGAGCAACATGTTTAAGCCTTTCTTACATTACCCTACTGATGTGGATCATGTGTTTCCAAAATTAATTGCATCAAAATAATTCTACAAAAATTCCTTCATGGCTTCTTACCTTTACCAAGGTTGTGTACAGTCACCTTCTGTCAACTGTTTGCAACTGCTAATACCTGTTATGATCAAAAGCACTTGATATGGGCTCTGTTCTCTAAGACAATGGTTGATGAGGACTGAATGTAGTAAATAGCACATTACATTTTGTGTCTTACCAAGTTAATACTTGTTGAAACTAAAGTGACATATTTTGCACTACGTTAAATGTTGCACATTCTTTCTTTCTGCTTAACGGAAACTCTGTTATTGAGTATTGACTTTTTAGTGGCATGGAAATCAGCTTTCATTGCAGTGACATTCATTCATTCATGCAACCCAGAAAAGAAAATGTGTCCCACGTGCTGATCTGATTTTCTACTCATAAAAGGACCAACAGTGCCTGTTGGATGAGAATACCGAGAAGGTTCAGATACTTAAACGTGTCTATTGATTCACTGGGTTCATTTCGTGGTCATGTGATGAAAATGAACATCTGTGCAGAGCATACCACTGCCCCACAGCTGTTCAACGTGGGGAGTGGTCCCACCTACACTGCCTTTGTTTCCAATTTTAATTGCCAATTATTTGTCTTATTAGATGTCATCCAAAGGGTTCCTACCTTCTGAGCCTTTAGCATCACTGTCAAACATGTTCAAAATGGTAAGATTTGTAGCTTGCCCCGATTTATAAGGTGCCCCACACACCTATCCAGTTTTAACCCTTCATCCCCCTGTGAGGTGTTTGAGGCAGACACTGAGGCCCCACATCAATGCCTGGGAAGGAGAAATTCAAATCAGGTAACTGATTTGCGCAGCTCTGTAGTGACCACACTGGCCTCATGTCCAACTCTTCTCTATAAATTTCTACATGTTTGACTTAATAAAAGCCTTCTCCAATGCAGAAAAAAAAATGCAATTGAACATTTTCAGAAATATGACAAGTATTTTGCTAATATTAAAAAAATCCATCATTCAGAATTGAAATCAAGTGTATAAAATGTTTCATTTTAAAATATGAACCCCAAAACTCTGCCCTCCTATGATAAGATCCAGATACAACAAGTATTTTTCTTAAAAAAAGAACACTGCTGTACAGGAATTTTAAAACACATACAAAAGAAGAGAGAATAGTATTATGAACCCACAAGAATTTCTCACCCATTCAACAGTTGAAACATTTTCCTATTAATAAATCACAAAAGGCATTAAAATAAAGATGAAACTTCCTTGAAAACATTCCAACTGTTCGATGCCTTTTGCCCAAAATGATGTTACAGCATCATCTTAACTTTTTGCAATGTAATGAATTTCTGATTTCTAGAGAAAATATTAAAAGTTGAAGTCTTTCTCAGAGCTCTGAGAATTTTCAAAAAGCCAATTTTAGAAGAACCTGTGAGAATTCTACAAATATTTGTAGCATAAAAAAAGAGACAAACCAGCCTCTCTGTATTTATAAACAATACGTTCTTTCATATCATTGTTGAAACTAAAGTACATAATTTTCAGTTATGCATAATAAAATATGTAATTAAGCAACATTCCATGGTGGATTAAAGAATTAAAAGCTTCAGGTGCAGAAAAGAATTTGTTGGCATTTTCTTTTTCAAGGTGGTATTTTGAGGTGTTACTTTTCATTTTCCTTTGACATCTTATACACAAATAAATAGACAGAAACAGGTGAGAAGCAGAGAAATGAAGAATTGGCTCTACTACAATAGACCTGGAAAACATAGCAGGGTAGAATATTTGCAAGAGCCCATGAAGGCTAAATTAAAAGGTACAGAAATCTTGGGAAGAAATCCTGGGAAGAAAAAACTCTAAATGGGGCATGTGCTTCACTAAAGAGAAATATAATAAAAAGATAACCGCAATTGGCAATTCCTATATTTCAAACAACATTAAATTAATTCACACTCCAATTTGTAAAGCTCAAGAAACTTATTTTTTCAAATGAAGAACTACATTTAATTAATAATTCTGTGCTATAAACACTGAAGTTCATAGAGGCATTTGGCATTTATCCTATTTTTTAAAAAGGGTAATACATCACATCAAGACAAACAACTCAAATGTCAATGTGTCACAATGGCTCCAAAAATAAATTATGCTACTGAATATCTAAGAAAAAATAATATTACAGAGATGAAACTGCATCTTACATCAGTAGAATTTTCTATCTAGTATCTACAGATTTTCATGTATGCTTAAATTACAAGTCAATTCTATATGATCAAGTAAATTTAATATCACGTATTTATATTACTCAAATCCTAGCACAGAAATATATGTTTGGTGAATGAATGAGATCAATTACATATAGCACGAGGTAATCTATAGGTAATCAATTACCTATAGACCATATCTCAGGTACAGTCCTCTTAATGGTGCCTTTTATACTGACCTCTCTAAGAGACTTTTGCTAGCCTTTAATGTCTCATGGCTCTGCTGAAATATGACATTGTTGTATTTGTATGTGTTTTTATACCCTATCTTATCACAAAATGAATTTGCTAATACTATCATATACACTACAATAACGCTAGGAAAAAACTCCAAAGAAAGTTAATGCAAAATTTGAATGAAAAATAATACAGATGGAAAGGTATGTTTGATAGAAATGTATACCATGAGACCCTCAACAGTTTAGAGGGACTATGAAAAACTTTCACAGCTTCATTGACATATAATTGACATACAATAGACTGTACATATTTAAAGAGTACAGTTTGATGTTTTGATACATTCCAATACAGGTGACATATATGTATGTGTGCGCGTGCACACACACACACACTGCCATTTTGTAATATCCTGCCCCTCCCACCCATCCCATTCTTATCTATCACCATCCCCATGAAACCACTGATCTGCTTTCTGTCATTCTAAGCTAGTTTGCATATTCTAGAATTTGGGGCTGATACAAAAAAAAAAGACAATATGAGCATTTATATGCATGCTTTTCTATGAACATAGGTGTTTGTTTCTCTCAGGTAAATTCCTAGAAATAACTTCTCACATCACAGGTATTAATTTAAATTTTTAGAAATTGACAAACTATTTTTCCAAAGTGGTGGTATTGCTTTCCATCCTCCACCGACAGTGTATGAGCGATTCCCTTGCTTCACATCCTTGTCAACATTTAATATGGTCAGTCTTTTTAATTTTAAACATCCCAACAGAAGTGCAGTGATATTTTATCATGACTTTAATTTGCAATTAATTCTGTAATAAATTGCAATGCCCTAACTGAACACCTTTTCATATGATCTGCTACCCACATGTCTTTTTGGTATATTGATCTTCGCTTCTGCAACCTTGCCTAAACTCACTCAATAGTTTTAGTATTTTTGTAGATTCCATCAAGTTATCTATATAGAAAATCATGCTAGATAACAAAAAAAGAAATATTACCACTCTAAATGTCTTCTATGTTGGTCTTATTTGGTTTTCTAGAATGTTCAGTACAATGTTGAAGAGAAATGATGCGAGTAGAACTCCTTGCCTTGTTCTTGAACTTTCATACTAGCACTATTCTATGACCTTTATAATCCAAATTCACACATAAGGTAGATACATTATTATCACTATATTACTTGTCATTAAACAAAAGCACAGAAAGGCCAAATAATGGATCCCAGTGGATTTATCTCCCAACAACCCTTTCTAACTTGCAGCTCTTGTTGTCCTTATCACAAGTCTTCACTTAAGCACTCAATTCTGGATTAGGTTGTCAGACTACATAACAAAATCCTATTTGACCAAAATGAGGCTGAAATGTGGAAAAGAAGGGAGGAGCATAGTATAATACAAAAGAATAAAATTAAAGTACAAGGAGAAGCGAGCTTTGGAGAAAGAAGAAGATCACAGAAAAAGAAGGATGAAGATGCTGGGAAGGAAAAACAAAGAGTTTGCCTGATAAGTGAGATGATTCAAAGAAGCAGCATACCTTTTACTATATTCCCATATTATGAGTTTTTAAAAAATATCTAGAAACCACATGGAAAACTGACCTCATTTAATGATTTTAGAAACACCGCCTATTTTTAAGTTTGGCACTTCCAAAAAAAAAGTGACCTAATTTTGGAAAAATAAAGTATTTCTAGATACAGTATGAGAGGGATCAAATTACAGTATCAATGACCTAAATAAAAAACTGGCAAACTATGGTCCATGACCCAAATCTAGCTTGCTTCTCATTTTGTAAATAAAGTTTTATGGGAACACAGTTTTACCCATTCATTTACATATACTCTATGATTGCTTCTGCGCTACAATTAAAGTAATTGTAGAGAAGACTGGATGGCCAGGAAGCCTAAAATATTTACTCTCTGGCTCATTACAGAAAATGGTTGCAGCCCCTGCCCCATATCATTAAGCTACACCTAGGTTTGCAAAGCTAAAGAAGACTCTTTCTGGATAAGCTGTGTCAAAATTAAGTCATTGTGTGGATATATTGCAGAAGAATTAGAGCATATATTATCTCAAAAACTCTTGTTTCAATTCTGCATTTCACTTCATATGTATGAAGAACTTAATTCTTTCAACTCTACTAATTACCTCATTGGCCTACACAAGATAAGAAGACCAGAGATCCTACACCCTGTTGTTCACTAGTAACTAGTCTATAAATTTAGAAAATTATTGACTAGAAACTTTACCTCTTCTCGATAAACTCAAGAAGTGTTAATATTCTTGGCAAAATTGTCTTTGCACTAATTGCCGTATCCATCTGCTCTGTGAGATTGATTAGACTGTGGGAGCATTTGCTCTCTCCTGCATCAGTGCTTCCTGGCCCAGCAGAAAGTTAGATCTGCCTTATTTCCATTCTGAGAAGGACATGCCACTGATAACTACACACATTTCTTTTTAGGATTTGAGATTAAATTGGCACTTGGCTTGATGGTCCTTCGGGAAATAATTTAATCTAAAGAGAGTTTTGTTAAAGTTAACTAAGACCACAGGAATTTAAACAAGTCCTTCTCATATAGCAAACCTCCACTGTTTTGGAAAGGCTATTTCTGTATATCCAGAGCTTGGGTGCAATGTCCTGTAGAAATGTCTCCTGGCCACTGGAAGAGTCTAAATCTGTCTCAACTCTTGAGCTCATGAAACCTTCAGAGACTGAATAATGCTGTCAGTGCATCTGGGAAAAGCAACTGCAGAGTCTAATTCTATCTGAATTGGACCCAGTATTTTATTTATTTGTTGCTAAGAATACACTTATCACAACAATCTCTAGGTTAAAAAAAAATTAAAAAGAGTGGTGTGTGTTGGGGGAACGTAAGTAAGAAAACT